GTATCCTAAACCGTATTAACACGTTACATAACAGTTAGTCAAACACTTTTAAAGAAATATTGAATAAAACAAACTGAATATCATTATTAAGCTCTCCCAGTCCGAGTGTATAGACGTCTTATAAAAAAAATGGCACGATAAGGCGCCTTTTTTAAACTACCATTTCGCCCTCCTATTAATAATAACAGATCCATGCATATATCAGAAGGCCACCGATATGTCAGTATAAAAAAAAGGAAATATTTACTTTATATATTAGTGTAAAACAATCTACCATCGAGAAAGCGAGAGAAAAAGCCGTTATTTCCGAGTACTTTTTCGTTTGCAATTCACGTTCTCTTACAGAAAATGAAGACTTTCCGCGCAAGAAAGTTCGAAGAGAAAATAAATTAGCAGAGAGGTACGTACGTCACGAAATATCAATTACTTTGATGAATATCCAAGCTGGATTATTCATGTATTTAAAAGAAATGGTTAAAAATATGTTTGTTTTTTATACATAATCCCGTTTTCCAACAGAATATTTAAAGGATATTCCTCACCGTTTTCCTCTCAACGACATCGCACATTTCCCGCCAAAAATCGAGGAGAAAAATGGCGGACTTTTGTATAAGTCATATATTTTGGCGACTTTGAGGTTTTCTTATGTACACTGGAAACAATAATTCGTTTGAAGATATTACCTAACGAATTTTGATTTTTTTTTCTTCTTCTTATGCAACTCAAACAATATACACTTAAAAGGCACAGAGTATAACGAAAGAGTGAAAGCCCAGAGAGATTATGAAAAAAATCTGTTCCTCACACGAAAAAAAAAAAATTGAGGAGACCTGATTTTTTTTACGGGTTTACCTATTCCGTCTACGAGTTATCTGTCCTTTCACTTGAAAAAAAAAGTATCACTTGCATTACCTTTCCATTTGCTCCGTTTTCAAGTAAAAAAAGTGTGTTCACATCACTTTACTATACAATACAAACCAACCAACTAGTATTACCCTATACTAATTTAAGTAAAGACTCATTTCCCAAACAGTTTATACTGCTAAGTATTAAGTCTCTAATATACATAGCATCAATCTATTGCACGGTTTCACAGTGAGAGAGAGAGAAAGAGACGTTAGGGATCCTTGACTTGAATTTAAATTTAAACTTTCGTGTTTGAAGAGTTGAAGTAACGGTTATGTTGAAGGCTGTCGCTCTTCAAATATAGTTGTACTTCGACTGTTTCTAAGATTTTTTTTTCTGTCTTGCCAATTGTTTTAATTTAGTAATATGTGATTCGATAATAAAGTCCATTCTTAATATTTTCGCACCATATATAACCCTCGTCTCACTAACTGCGATTTCTCTTATCACATTTTTGTAAATAGTTAAGTAGAATTATTTTCTTTTAAATGTAAAACTACTGCACTGTGAAAAAAGCCATTATCGTCAATATTTTTTTTTTTGTATTTTTTATTTGTTTATTTTGTTTACTCTTTTTGTCAAATGGCTTCCCTCAAAAACTAATTTCAAAGGTAGTTCATAGTGCAGATAAAACAGACATCCAGGTCTATGGCGGTTCTCCGTACACCAGTCTGCGGCCGCGGTGTCGCCGGCTGGCTCGGCCATCGACACAAACATCCACACAAACGTTGCCGACTGCACCGTGCATCGGCCGACCGGAGGCCCGACCAACCGACCGCTTCCGACGCGGCGCTGCCTTCGGAGACGCGAGCTTTGCCCACCTCTGCGAGTTCCGTTTCGTCGGAGCGTCCGGCAGGACCTGGAGATATATATGTATTTGTATATATATATATCTATTTCTATATGGCCACTTTGAAGAAGAGCATTCACAGTCGAGGCGCCGCCGAGGGAGCAATCCGCGGCCGGGTCGGGTCTCAGCTTGGGGGGGGAGGGGGGTCAGGGAGACAGACCCCCGACGCCAAGACCGACTGCGGCCGCTCCCTTCACCCGCATCCGATGGCATCCAAAAAAAAGGACACACTTATTATCCTCCTTCTCTTCACACTTCTTCTCCCCTCCCCCCCTTATCATATTTCTTCCACTTTTCTCTTCTCTCTTCTTAACCCTCTTCCTCCTTCTCCTCCTACCCGCCTGCATCTCGCTTCCAATTTTCCGATTCTTTCAACTTTCTCTCTCTCTATTTTTTTTCCTTCATTTTTCTTCTTCTTCTTCTTCTTTTCCTTCTTTTTCCTTCCCCTCTTTTCTCTTTTTTTCCCTTTTTTTCCCCCAACTTGTTCTCGCCGTCGTCGCGGCCGCCTCCTCTTAACTTATCATTAGCTTGAAATTGGACGTTCCCGACGCGTACGGCCCGAACATCCCATTGGTCGAGGTGCAGTTCAGACTTGGTGTGATTGGCGGGGTCACGAGGCCGGAGGGGGGGCTGGGCAACGCGGTGAAAGGGGGTTGGCTCTCCTGCTTGATCTTCACGTTTGATTGGCTGCTGGTGCTGGGGATGGCAGCTGATTGGCTGGCTTGCGGAGGCTGAGTTTGCTGGGGGGGCTTCGGGGGGGAGATGGCAGTGGCGGGCTCGGGAGCGCGGTGCTCGGTCTCCTTGGACGGCTGCTCCTCGGCTGGAAGGAGAGAGGGGGGGGAGGGGTTAGAAGGCTTTTAGAAGGATGTACAGAATCTTATGAAATAAAAGTGTGGATAATATTTATAAATTATGAACGGAGTTAGAAAAAAAAATGGAATTCAAAAATATGTATAGTCTTATAATATTCAAATTATATAAAGTTATCATGATATTTATCAAAATTATGCAAACTTATCCTAATATTAAAAAAGAGACAGAAAGATATACATAATGTATCAGTCATTTAAAAAATAAATAATCTTCAAAGGCACGTATATGGTCATACATATATTTAAAATCCTATATAAATTCAGCCATAAAATTTAATCCTATATATATTTAAAGGTAAACGTAAAATTATATATAATATCAAAAACCAAAAGCGACATTACATCATATGTATTTTTCTTATAAAATATGTAAAGTACTTTAGAATATCGACAAGTATTTCCAAAAAAATCATAAAAAATATAACGATTTCGAAAACACTCAAAGATAACTTATCAAAACACATGTGATTCATCAATTCCTGTACTTTTTTACCATTTGTTTAAAATTGCGTAATACGAAAGTGAATATATTTTCGAATTTCGGAAGAACGTTGAAGTGATAAAATATAATTGCCGTTGGTTGGGTTCGCATGTTTTACGTTAAGCTATTTTTCCGAATGAAACGTCTGCGCGGTGTTGCCACTGATATTTCCGCTAAAACGCTAGACTGGATTTTAAAATTTGCTAGACATAAGATTATGACACTCATTTTCCCACTAAAAAAGGGACTTAAAATCCGTTAGACATAAGATTAAAAACCTTCATTTTCCCTAAAAAAGTACTTAAAAACCGCTAGACATAAGATTTAAACCTTCATTTTCCCGCGAAAATAGGATTGAAAAAAATATCTGAATATAGAGTAAAGCTTTCAAAAAAATTTCCGCTAGATTGAATTTCAAAATCTCTAGATCTAGCGGGAAAATCGCTAGAATGGCAACACTTTACATTTTCGGTGCTAAAATGACTTCACTATTTTTTTTTTCTCTTCTATTTACGATGTATGCAAATAAGACAATTCATAAAACTAACATAGGCTACGATAATGTTTCTTGTAAATTTGTACTCTTAATATTTGTCAATTACCACGCACTATCATTTACATACTCTTTTCTTTTTAATTTCTTTCTTTTTCTCTTTTTCTTTCTTTCTTTTTTTAGACATATTGATGGTACTCATTCTTATCAGCTTAGTCACGTGACAGGTCGACTTGTATGCCGCAAATTGCATTAATAATTTACGATTGATTACACAGCTGTATTGTCCGCGGAATGTTGCAATCTCTTTTATTCTCATTTATACATTTATCTATTCAATTATCGATTCATTTATTATTATTGTTATCATTATCATTATCATTATCATTATTACTATTATTATTATTATTATTATTATTTTATTATTGTTTTTGTTTTTGTTATTGTTATTGCTATTTTTATTATAATTATTATTATTACTAATATCATTATTATTATTATTGTTACATGTTCCTTTATTTTCATTTATTTCCTGCATTCTAGTAGTCTTTATCCTATTATTGTTATTATTATCATTATTTTTATAATTATTATTTTATCATTATTACTATTATTATCATTATTATTATTATTATAATTATTATTACTATTATTATTATTACTATTATTACTATTATTATCATTATTATTACCATTATTATTATCATTATCATTATTTTCATTATTATTACTATTATTATTACTATTATTATTATTGTTATTATTATCATTATCATTATCATTATTACTGTTATTATCAACATTATTATTATTGTTATTTACTTTTATAATTTTTTTTTATGTACATTTCATCTATTCTATTTATTATGACTTTAAGAAAGTATCAAATGCCACAATTGCTCTCCAAATTATATTTATTTATACACATTTTTTCGCCGCTAATTAATCATTCATTCAAAATAACCAGAACAAATCACTTTTTTCTCAATCTATGAATCTGTGAGAAAAAAATCTAGAATGATAAACTTATAATGAATAAATAAATAGATAAAAATCTTTCTTGAAAAAATAGGAGAAAAAGAAAATGTTAAATTCACTCTCTCCCAAAATAATAACAATAACAAATATAGAAAATACAATATGAATAGATACATTGACAAATAAATAAATTATAATAATCAATTCATTAAATAAGCAAATAAACATAAAGAAAAATCGAAAAAAATAACAAGAAAAAAAGAAAAACGAAAAAAACAAAAAAAACAAAAATACGACATAAAATACGACCTCCCCCCGCTCAAAAAGAAAAGAAAAAACCCTACCCCCCATAAAAAAATCCAAATAAAACAAAACAAAAAAAAAAAAAACCCCTCAAATTGTCCGAATCCTCACCTGCTG